GCGGTCCCTTTTCAAAAGGTACACATTTGTCCCTGAAGGGTCCATCTTGGTACCTCAAAAGTATATATTAGTACCTACAATTTTTAGAAGGAACACTTTTGTACTTTTTAGGTACTAATATGTACTCTTGAGGTATTAATATGGACCTTTTAGGTTCAAATTTGTACCTTTTGAAAAGGTACCCCAGTGACAGCTCATGTATCTTTATTTCTGAAAGTGTACATAAGACTGATTGACGCTTGACTTGGCACTGAAAATGGTTTGAGTTCAGCTTGGCCTTGTTTTGAGCTTGCTTTCACTTCTCTTCTCATCATATAAATGTCCCTGGTAGCGTGTGCTATTCACAGCTAGTTCAATAAAGACATTTTACACAGCCTGCTCAAAAATCTTTATTTAAGATGCAATGGGGCAAAAGCTTAAATACCTAAAAGACTAAATACCTGTTGAGACCATTGCTGGAGACTCAACTAACAGATACGTCAGATTTGCTTTAGTGCCATCTTTGCATCATTTAGCATGATAGAATTCATTCAAATCAACAATTGTGACATTAGTTTTATAGTGCCTAACAGGCAAAAAAAAAGGCAAACTCATCCAGCAAATGTAGCACAGAAGTGCTCATGAAGCGGCTATTAGGTGTCTTTACGCAAACTGTTTAATGCAGCTTGGAGGTGGCATAAATGCATTTACACACTAGTGTTAACTGCCGGCTCTTAAGGGGGTGAGAGTAGGAATAAATTGGTCTGGCTTTTTATGACTTTACAAACAATTCTGAAACTTTAAGGCTTTTTGACTTTTTTTTTTTTTTTTTTGTGAAGACTTTCAAAAATGCCATTTTAGTAGTCAAAAACAAACATCTCACAATTTCTTTGTACACAATTTCATTCAAATACGAATCACAATTGTGAATACTGATTGATTAAATTTAGAATCAGTCACCAAACTTACATTGGAAGATGTTGATGTTGGTTGGAGCAGTAAGAGTTTTCTTTTCGGGTAAACTTCACCTGAAATGTACATATTAACATTATTTTGCACACTGCGTATATTATATTACACAAACATTTCAAAAGGTTTTGGAGCAATGCCACAATGAACACTTTTTACCAAGGATTACATTTCTATAGGCATTCATGGTTCTGTAAATAACCTTTGGATTTGGATAAAATCAAAATCTTGATTGAGAATTTAACTCAATTACGATTAATGAACGATTGCTTTATTTAAATTTATTCATTTTTTGCCCTCATTGTTCACTGACAAGTTTTATATGCCGTCTAAATGCATCTCTGCCGCAGCTTCCAATCATCGTCATTGCAAAGTAAGGCTCAAGATTGATTCCATCTTCCTACTTGACCAGAGATCAGATGTGGCTGCAAAGTGGCTGCATAAGTAGAAATTAGCCACAGCCTTTAACAGAACAGGGGTCACATGACACGTAGGGAAAGTAATAGGAAAAATCAGCCTGAAAAATTTTGATCGATTATAGCATGGGTGACCAGAATTTTTCTTATGAAGGGCCAAAAACCAAACTTTATTGAGGTTAGTGGGCCAACGGTAAATATAGTTGTCATGGGTAATTTCCTTTATTTAAATTTATTTAAAAATGTTTACAAATAACTAGAAAACATTGCTTTATATTAACTAAAACAGTGTAATTGTTTGTGTACACTTCATAATGAAATTATTACAATCTCGTTTATTATATGGAGTGAGTTACATTAGTTTTTGGCCTGATTTGCTCGCCGATGTCTTCTGCATATTCCTCTATTTGTCGAGTGACAGTATTTACGTTTTATAAACACTGATTGATTTACATTTAATTAAAACATTTCATTTCAGCTTGATTCTTTATAGCTCAGCAATAAAACAAACAAAAAAAGGTTACTTCAAACTACAAATGACAAACTCTATTAAAGGCATTCACCCCAACCCTCTTCATCATTCTTAGATGGGATGGTGGGCCAAAGCAAAGGTTACAATGGGTCAATTTTGGCTCGCTGGCCCTACTTTGGGCATCTCTGGATTATAGGTTGTGAATGTTGATTTTTAATTACTTATCGATTAATCGCCCAGCCCTAACCTCTTTCCATTCTATTAACTCTTCATTGTGGGAAAATGGTTATCAAAATTTTTATCTAATCACACTACATTCTTACAAACAAATGTTCCAAAGGATTGTGTTGTGAACAAACTATCAGTTAACAGCTCATAAAATGATGAGCTCTTTAACAGGATCAATGTAAAAATATTAACTAAAGTGCTGTTAAAAAATATGGTTATTTCTATCCTTGAACCATTTCAATTGACAAAAGGTTCTTTATGATAGAAAAGATTTTTTCAAACATTAAATGTTCTTTAAATGAAGAAAAAATTGTTTTGTTTTCAATAACTGATGGCAGAAAGTTGTTTTGGAGAACCAAATGTATCATTAAGAGTGAAAGTCATCATCTGAGGGATCACTGGATAAATGATTTTGGAACCAAATCTTTTTAATCAATTGAAAAGTTCTAGAGCAGGGGTGTCGAAACTCGTTCCAGGAGGGCCGGTGTCCTGCATATTGTAGTTCCAACCCCATTTAGACACCTGAGCCAGCTAATTATGCTTCTTCTAGGTATACTAGAAACTCCCAGGCAGGTGTGTTGAAGAAAGTTGGAGCTAAACTATGCAGGACACCATCCCTCCAGGACAGAGTTTGGACACATGTATACGAGTGCATGGAACCATGCATAACGAAATCTTTTTAAACATGTCAAATTCAAGCAGTGTATCTAAGCAGGTTTTTGGTAAACAATAGTATCACAATCACTTCAATCAGTCACCAAACTTACAATGGAAGAGGCTTGGTTGGAGCAGTAAGAGAGCTTTCTTTTCTGGTAAACTTCACCTGAAATTTACATGATAAAATGATTTTGCACACCATGTATGGTAAATTACACATAAACATTCCAAAAGGTTTTGCAGCAACGCCACAATAAACACTTTCTTAATATGAACTAATGTTATATAGGCATTCATGTGTCCATTAATAAGCTTTTACATCTCTTTCCATTCTATTAACCTTATTAATTATGGAAAAATGGTTATCAGGATTTTTGGATCACACATCACAATACACTCCTACAAACAAATGCTCCAAAGGATTTTGCTGTAATGCAGTAGAACAAACTATCAGTTAACAACTTGTAAAATGATGGGTATTTAAAAGCATCTATAAAGTTGTTTTGGAGAACCAAATGTATTATTAGGAGTGAAAGTCATCATCAAAGGCAAAGATGCTCGTAAGTAGGGCTTTTAGTTTTTTGTTTTATTGCTCAGCTAAAAAAAAAAAAAAAAAACTGAAATAAAATATTTTAATTAAATGTAAATCAATCAGAGTTTGTAAAATGTAAATACTGTCACTCAACATATAGAGAACTATGCAGATAGTTCAAACGTTGGTGAGCAAATCAGGGCAAAAACTAATGCAACTCCATAATGTTATAAAGAAGATTGTTTTTCTTGTACTGTAATAAGTTCATTATAAAATGTAAAGAAACAATTATACTGCATTAGTTGATATAAAGCAATGTTTTCTAGTTATTTTTAAACATTATTAAATAAATTTGGAAATTACCAATGGTAACTATAATTTACCTGTGGCCTACTAGCCTCAAAGTTTGGTTTCGGCCCTTCATAAGAAAAAGTTTGGGCACCCCTGATCTAAGCCATCACTGCATAAAGTATTTTGGAACAAGACCCTTAACAGCAATAGTAAGGTTCTAGAGACGTTAACGGTTCTTAATGAATCTACAAATATATTTTTAAATTTAGTGCATACATGAAACATTTTTAAACATGCAAGGTTCAAGCCAGTATATCTAAGCAGGTTTATAGGTAAACAATGGCATTACAATCACTTCAATCAATCTGAACACTGAAGCAGATTCTTGCAGAACTGCAGGTCAGGTGAAGCAAAAGCTCCAAAATGCTGCCTCCTCCCTGCTCGGTGACCCTCAACCTCAAAGCACTCAGAACAAAAATGTTTTTCAGCTTTAAATGACCCACATTTCTACCACTCCTCTGTTTCCTATCTCATGCCCCATGCCAAAAGGTTTCTCTGCACATGGGGGCCAGATTTCCTGTGAGCCACCGAAAAAGCTCAGCGCTGACGTATTTCAGCTCTAAAGACAATACTAAAGCCCTCTAAACAAGCTCCCTCAATTCATCTATAACACAAACATTTATTCACACACAAACACTTACATACATTTGAATGTTTAAAACCTCTTTTTGAAGTTTCGAAGGGACACACCTACACGAGCGAGCAGACTACTAACTTTAAACACAGGAAGAAAAAAAAAGAGCATGTCGCAATTTCTAACTTGACTCATAACTAATTCGACTCGTGCCCAGTCATATCTACCTGGAAGTCAAAATAATTAAAAAAAACGCCCTGAACTTTTCCGATAAACTGTTATTTTCACGTGTCAAGGTTGTTCTGTACCTGAACAAAGTAATTTCAGTGTAATCTATTTCTTTTAGAGGGAAATTTCTATTATTCTAGAACTTTTTCTCATACAGATAAAGCTTAGTTAACACACAACAAAATTTAAATTTTACTCATCATTTGTTTGGATTTCATTCTTCTGTTAAACATAAAAGAAGATATTTTGAAGAATGTTGCAAACCTGACTTCCATAGTATTTGTTTTAGGATATGGTTTTCAGCTATCTTCAATATATCTTCTTTTGTGTTCAACAAAAACTCAAAGAAAGATGTAAAGGGTGAGCAAATGACAGAATGTTCATAATTGAGTGAACTATCCCTTTAAATTTGTTCCCAAATTCAATTAATCAGTCACTGATTAGAAGGTCAGCACAGCGATAGCAGCGGAAACCCGTAACATCCGTGTTCTGGAATCACTGACCAAATGATTGACTATCATTTATGATTTGTTAGTTGCCTAGATCAAGTGTTTTTCATTTCTATGAGCAGTATGTGTGTTGCCTACATCACAGGAAGCTCTATCGGTGGTGAGTGAAGACCAGTCCATATTCGAGTCACCCTTCAGTGGTCCCCAGGCCATGCACATGAAGGCAGAGATCGGCTCGCCTGCGGTGTTCAGACAGGCTTCAGAAGAAAGCATCGAACCCACTGAACCAGACTGGAGCGGATCGGCAGCACAAAACTCTGCCAAAAGAGCAGAACACATCAACGGGACCAGGTGGGGCAACAAATGCTGATGCAATGATCTGAATCTGCCTTTATTTTTTATATGTTGGCATTATTTACTCACCTTCATCCCTCCAAATCCATATGCCTGTCTCGTTTCTGTGTAACAAAAAAGTAGTAGTTTAGCAGAATGTCCAAGTTGCTCTTTTCCACACAATAGCTGTGAACTATTGCATAAAAATGGCATTTCAAGAATAAAAAAGGCATTATATTAGCTCAAGTAAAGTCTCAGAATTTCATTGTACTCCATGAGACTCAAAATAGAGCTGCAATTGTGCACATTGTATGATTAAATTCAGAATCGGCCACCAAACTTACACTGGAAGAAGCTGATGTTGGTTGGAGCAGTAATAAAACTTTATTTCCTGGTAAACTCCACCTAAAATATGAATAATAAAATGCAATAATTTTGTATACTGCATTTATTTTATTATGCATATGCATTTTTGTTTTATTGCTGTCATGTTTCTGTGTAAAAAAAATAAAAAAGTAGTTTAATAGAATGTCCAAGCAGCTCCTTTCCAAACAATAGCTGCGTTTCCAAGTTATCAAAAATAAGATATTGCATCAAACACTAGCAAATAATGTGCCGTTTCCATTTCTAGAGAAATAAAGTGTCTCCTGGCTGTCTTATTTCTTTGTAAAAAAAGTAGTTTAATAGAATGTCCAAGCTGCTCTTTTCCCACACAATAGACCTGATGTAAAGTTGTGAAATTTATGCACAAAAATAAACTTTCAAGCATTAAAAATTTAAGCATTTTAGCTGTTCAAGTAAAAACTAATGAGCAAGAATAGAATTGTACTCCATGAGATTCAAATTCCAGCTGCAGTTGTGCGCAATGTTTCATTAAATTCAGGATTAGCCACCAAACTTACATTGGAAGAATATGGTGTTGGTTGAAGCAGTAATAAAACTTTCTTCCCTGGTGAAGTTCACTTGAAACTTGAATATAATGCAATTATTTTGTATACTGCATACATTTTATTATGCATAAGCATTCAAAAAGAGTTTTTTTTTTCCGGATGTCTTATTTCTGTAAAAAAAAAGTGGTAGTTTAATAGAATGTCCAAGCTGCTCCTTTCCACACAATAGCTGCGGTTACAAGTTATTAAAAATAAGATATTGCATTAAACACTAGCAAATAAAGTGTTGTTTCCATTTCATGAGTTATAGAGAATTAAAAAGTGCCTTCCTGGGAAACTAGTGTGATATATAAATAACAAAAACGAATGTTTATGCCAGCAGGGAAAGCACTGTTTCTCTTTTTTTCCTCAATGTCTCAGGATGACAAACAATACACAATAACACATGCTGACATGTTATCTTGGAGACAGATGCCTAATATTTGAAAAAACAATTACATGAGACAATTCTAAGTGATTATACAAACTCGTTTTTGTGAGGATGAACGTCCATGCGGGTATGTGCAGATTTAATAAAACAACATTTCAGGTGTGTGAGATGAGAATCGCTGTTATCCAAACACAAAACGTTTTTTGTGTGCATCAATTAATATTTATGATAATTTTTTTTTTCTGCTGCAGTTAATGTATAAACAGTCAAGCCAGAGATTATTCGCATTTAAAGCGACATGTATATTTTTGGATTCGACTAAAGTTATTCAGTTTTTTATGTTATAAAATAAGACCAAATTCGTAGTCTTAGTTTTTTAATAGATAAATCAGTGCCATTCAGCATTACTGGGGTCAAACCTTTTTTGGAAAGGTTTGCATTTTTAAGACAAACTCATTCATTACACACAACATTTATATTGTGCTACTTTTTATATATTGGTGTTTACATTCAGCACTTCTTGCAATATCAGCAGTAATTATTATTCAGTATATTTGCTGTTTGAGTAACCAAAACTGGAACTGCAAAGGCATCCCCCTTATTTGCGCATGGAAGTTGAGAGCAGCAGCTAATTTGCATTTAAAGAGATACAAATATATTTGCATAAAAAGGGGCATTTACAGCAAGGTAAATTAATAACCGGCAAAGCAAACAACAAGGCAAAAAAATGTATAAATGTATATATAGTGAAACCATAAGTGAAACCAGTGCCATTCAGCATTACATTAAACCTTGTTTGGAAACATTCCGGTGTTGTGCTGAGAAATACACACCTGCCATAAAATGCATAAATTAATAATAGAGTTATGACAACTAATGACAGAGACTGAAGTAAGCTCCATGAATAAAACCCTTCCCTTACCGAAGATATAAATTCAAACAAGTAGATTTAATTTAAATACAATATCGATGAGATTAAGTGAAGTGAATTGTTTAAAGTGTGGTTTAGTTGAAAACAACAACATGTTTTCCTTTTGTTAAAACCCACCAAAAGCTTAATTTTAGAAATAGGCTCATCAGATCAGTCTATACTTCAGTCAATATTTTTATTTTACTTTTATTTGTAAACCTAATGCATTTTAAATTGCGTATCACGTCTTGTTCTTGCTTTATCCATCAAAATTATAATCATATTATGTTTTAATCAATTATGATTTTTTTAAAATGCAGACTGAGAATGCTAATGAAAGTCTATGAAGGGGTGCATTTCTTGGCACAAAACCTGCAATTCTAAGGCAAACTCATTTTACATTGAGAGAATGGAACAACATTTACAGTATATTGAGCTCCTTTTCATATACTGGTGCTTCCATTCAGCATTTTTTATGCAATATCTGCAAAAATATGCACAAATTATTATGCAGTATATTTGCTGAGTAACCAAAGAAGGAACTAGACATGGACGTTGGAAGCAGCAGATAATTTGCATTTAAAGAGACACAAATATTTGCATAAAAAAAGAGCATTTACAGCAAGGTAAAAAAATGATCTGACATATATTTAAAGCTAAAATATTACACATTTGTTTCAAAAGTTTGTTTCACATTTGTTTCAAATGTTTACAAAAATACTTAGTAAAATACATGTTTTTAAAGTGAAACCAGTGCCATCAGCATTCAGCATCAAACCACTTCTGAATATTAATTACTGTCAGAGAATGGAGATCCAACAACATTTATACTGAACTCTTCTTCATACTTTCTGCCGCAGCCATGAGTCCCCAGTGGACTGTAGTGTGACTAAAAGGACTCGACACATGAGTAACAGTGATGGAGGACAGTTGTCTTACCAGGCCTCGTACCCAGAGCCCCGCAGCAGCCCACAGACGGCCACACCACCCAGCAGCACCACAGAGGAGAAGAGGGTCATCGTACCAGCCGGTGAGAATGCCTATTAGAGTAATTAGTCCTAATAAACAAGGGTTTCACTGCAGTTGATCTCAATGTCAATTTTACTTATAACACTATTAAACACAACCAATGTGACAACTAAGATATAAGATTATAGCTAAAACAAACAATTCTCACTGATAAAATGCCAAAATTAAAAAGGTGTTTTCAACCTAGATTTAAAAACAGACACAGAGTGTATAGATCTAATACAGAGGAGCAGAGCATTCCACAATCTAGGACTAGCTACTGTAAAAGCACGGTCACCCCTGCATTTCAGCTTCAATTTAAGGATGCATAATAAACCCTGGTTTGATGACTGAAGAGACCAACCAGGCTGATGTTCAGTTAACAGGTCTGAGGAGACAGGTCATTTAGTGATAAAAAAAAAAAACACAAGAAAATAATTTTTAAAAGTGACACAATAGTGGACAGGCAACCAGTGCAAAGAGAGTAAGACTGGTGTGATGTGGTCATGTTTTTGGTACTCGTTAAAAGCCTTGCAGCAGCATTTTGAACTAACAGTAAATGGGATAAAGCTGTCTGACTAATCCCAAAATATAGCGAGTGTCAGTAAGTGAGTTGTTTAAGAAATATTCTTTTAAAATCTATGTTAAAAAGATAAATGAACACTTATCTGGCAGGTAAACAATAATTTACATTTATTTATTTAAATATATTTAAAAGTGACAAAGACATTTAGAATGTAACAAAATAATTTTTTTGTATAATCTATAATAAGTTTTAATTATGTTCACATTTTATTTTAGGTAATTCTCACTATTAACATTAATAAACTACTAATTTGATGCTTATTAAGAGTTATTTATTATTTATTGATTAATGGATTATTATTATTTAGTTAGTTAGTTTAGATGGGAATAGGGATGTAGAATAAGATCACGCAAATGTACTTTATAAAAAAATATTAAACAGCCAATACCCTAATAATGGTTCAGTAATAAGCCACTAGTTAAAGTTGAGAATTGGTACTTAAACTAAAGCATTACAAACAACAAACAAAAACAAACTAGGTTTTCCTCACAAACATTAGCAGCAAATCTGTTTTTTTAACATTGTAATATAGTTTCTAGAGCATGATATCAGCCTATTAAAGGAGATATTTTTAATAAAGAAATCAACTTAAACCAACAGAAATCCATTATTAAAGTGCTGTAGTGATAAAATTACTTGATAAATACTTTTTCCACATTTCCACATTACAGCCTTATTCCAAAATGAATTAAATTAATTTATTTCCTCAAAATTCTACACACAAAACCCCATAATGACAACGTGAAAAAAAGATTCTTTGAAATTGTTGCAAATTTATCCAAAATAAAAAAAACCTGAAAAATCACATGTACAGAAGTATTCAAAGCCTATAGAGCCGTCAAGCTCTAAATTGAACTCAGGTACATTCTGTTTCCACTGATCATTCTTGAGATGTTTCAGCAGCTTGATTGGAGTTCACCTGTGGTAAATTCAGTTGATTGGACATTTTTTGAAAGGCATACACCTGTCTATATAAGGTCCCAGGGTTGAGAGCGCATGTCAAAGCACAAACCATTAAGCATGAAGACAAAGGGGTTGTCTGTAGACCTTCAAGACAGGATTGTCTTGAGGCACAAGGCTGGGGAAGGTTACAGAAAAATTTCTGCTGCTCTGAAAGTTCCAATGATCACAGTGGCCTCCTTCATCCGTAAGTGGAAGATGTTTGAAACCACCAGGACTCTTCCTAGAGCCGGCTTGCCATCTAAACTGAGTGATCAGGGGAGAAGAGCCTTAGTCAGAGAGGTGATCAAGAACCCGTTGGTCACTGTCTGAGCTCCAGCGTATCTTGTGCGGAGAGAGGAGAACCTTACAGAAGGACAACCATCTGTACAGCAATCCACCAATCAGGCCTGTAAGGTAGAGTGGCCAGATGAAAGCCACTCTCCACCTGAAATTTGTCAAAAGGCATCTGAAGGACTCTCAGACCATAAAAAACTAAATTCTCTGGTCTGATGAGAATAAAATTGAACTCTTTGGAGTGAATGCCAGGCATTATGTTTGGAGAAAACCAGGCACCGCTCATCACCAGGCTAATACCATCCTTACAGTGAAGCATGATAGGGCAGCATCATGCTGTGAGGATGTTTTTCAGCAGCAGGAACTGGAAGACTAGTCAGGATGGAGGGAAAGATGAATGCAGCAATGTACAGAGACATCCTGAATGAAAACCTGCTTCAGAGTGCTCTTCACCTCAGACTGGGGGAACGGTTCATCTTCCAACAGGACAATGACCCAAAGCACACCGCAAAATATCAATGGATTGGCTTCACAACAACTCTGTGAATGTCCTTGAGTGGCCCAGCGAGAGCCCAGACCTAAATCCTATTGAACATCTCTGGAGAGATCTGAAAATGGCTGTACATCGTCGCTTCCCATTCAACCTGATAGAGCTTGTGGCATCATTTTTAAAAAGACTTGAGGCTGTAATTGCTGCCAAAGGTGCATCAAAAAAGTATTGAGCAAAGGCTGTGAATACTTCTGTACATGTGATTTTTCAGCTTTTTTATTTTTAATAACTTTGCAACACTTTTCACTTTGTCATTATGGGCCATTGCATGTAGAGTTTTGAGGAAATAAATGAATTGAATCCATTTTGGAATAAAGCTGTAACAATAAACGTCGGAAAAAGTGAAGCGCTATGAATACTTTCCGGATCCACTGTATATTTAAACATTATACATACATACAAATTGTGCATGGGTTTGAGTTAAATGTAAATATTGTAAACATATTGGTAACACTTTACAATAAGTTTCATTAGTTAATGCATTTACTAACATGAACTAATCATGAACAACACATGTACATCATTTATTAATCATAATTGAACATTTACTAATGCATTATTAACATCCAAACGTCCAAAAAAACAACTGTATTTTCATTAACTAATGTTAACTAACATGTACAAATACTGTAGTAAATGTATTGTTCATTGTTTGTCCATGTTAGTAAATGCATTAAGTAACATTAACTAATGAACCTTATTGTAAAGTGTGACCAATATATCTAATATTATGTTTACAAGATCTAAGAAAGTATTTGACATGACACATATTTTAATTTATTGCGACATCAATATTTGATGGAATAACTCTTCTCAGGTCAAAAGTCTAAACTCTTCTTGTTATTTTTTTATATTTATATTTTTAAACACACATACTAAAAACTCAAGCACATGAAAATAATAATAAATGCTTTACTACTAGTATTACAGAATAAGATATAGCTGACGTAGCTAAAGGTAAAGCTATGTTTATTTAAAAGGGAAGCATCTGACTGAATATATTTAGTGTGCAGTTGACTCATTTCTAACAGCCAGAGGATGTATAGATGTCTAAACAAAGATATGTGGTAATTATACAATGACCGCAGGAACTTGCATCACTACAAATTTGTACTTTGTGGGAAAAAGGCAGGTTTGTGAAAGAATGACAAACCCGCTTATGCTTTTCCTACTCGCAGATTCCAGAAACCCAGCAGACTAAACTACATTTGATTGTGCGCAGATTCCAGAAGAGATAATCACTCATTACTCACAAACCAATTAGGATGTGCGTTAAGGGAGGCGTTTTGAAGGTCGTCGTAACTTTAAGAGCAGAGTGGTGGAGTCGCCCAAAGCATTGTGCGACAGTGAGTGTATGGGATTCCTCCTTATGAGTCACCCAGACCAAACAATTATAAATGACCATAATACTCGGATATGACGTCATATTTCAAGGACAAATAAGAGCGTGTAAAAGTGCTTGTAAAAGAGGCGCTATAACAGTGAATAATAAAGCAAGATATCCGCTAGCATTCCCATTCATTTCAATGACAGCTGCTACGCTGTTGTGCTGTGACATCAAAATAAAGAAAATATTATGGAATAAATCACTTTATTAATAAAACTATTTTTAAAATATAATAATTATTATTATCCTTATTATCAATAATAATAATAATATTAATTAATAATAAACAACAAAATGGAAACTATTATAAATACATTTCTAATGTTTAAGAGCTGTAAATAATAATAATAATGAATTATATAAACTATGGATCTATCTGACTTTATGAATACAATTATTTTTGTACAGTTAATTATAATAATTTTTTATTTTAGTAGTATTAACAACATTACTAACAACAATACTACGAGAAACACTAAGACATTTCTAATTCAAGAGCCCTTAAAATAAACAATGAATCAATAAAAATGAAATAAACATGAAATATGAATATTTTATTATATTTTATTTAATAAATAAACATATATATATATATATATATATCCGCCGCAGCGGATTGAGCCGCCAACTTATCCAGCACATTTTTAGGCAGCGGATGCCCTTCCAGCTGCAACACATCCCTGGGTAACATCCACACACACATTCACACACATACTCATACACTACGGACAATTTAGCCTAGCCAATTCATCTGTACTACATGTCTTGGACTGTGGGGGAAACCGGAGCACCCGGAGGAATCCCACGCGAATGCAGGGAGAACATGCAAACTATTATTAATATTAATTATTATTGAATCAATCATAAGTATAGAAAATATGAATCTATCAGACTTTATGAATACAAAAACAGCAATAATAAGACAAACATTAATAATAGATTTCTAATTTAAGAGCCATTAAAATAAAATAAAAATCAATCAATAATAATTAAATGAATTATGAAATAATCTATTTCTTTAATAATGTTTTTATTTTTAAAGCTGTTAACAACAACAGGAAAACTAATACTCTACAAATTTTAATGAGCTCTTATAATTCAAAATAAATCAATAATTAAATGAAATATGAATCTATCCTTAAAAATATTTTTAAAGTTAATACTACTATTACGACTATAGTACCACTACTAAGAATAATGAACTCAAAAACATTTTAAATACATTTTAAAATGTTTTGAAACCAAATGATGTTGTAAAACCAACCAACAAGAGCCAAAACACTTTAGCTACTATAGTATAAAAACCCTAAAGTAAAGTAAAAGTAAAAAGTAAAATAAAGAGTAAAATAAAAAGTAAAAGAAGTAAAAAGTAAAAAGAAAAGCAAAGTAAAAAACTAAAGTAAAAACTAAAGTAAAGCAAAGCAAAAAGTAAAGGCAAAGTAAACTACAAAAGTAAAGGTAAAATAAAAAGTAAAGTAAAAAAAAAAGCAAAGTAAAGCAAAGGTACAGTAAAGGCAAAATAAAGTAGAAGAAAAAAGTAAAGCAAAAAGTAAAAATTAAAGTAAAGTAAAAAGTAAAGGCAAAGTAAAGTAAAAAGTAAAGGTAAAGTGAAAAGTAAAGGTAAAGTAAAGATTAAGGGCAAAGTAAAGTAAAAATTAAAGTAAAAAGTAAAGGCAAAGTAAAGTAAAAAGTAAAGGTAAAGTGAAAAGTAAAGGTAAAGTAAAGATTAAGGGCAAAGTAAAGTAAAAATTAAAGTAAAAAGTAAAGGCAAAGTAAAAAAAAAAACAGTAAAAAGTAAAAGTAATGAGTAAAGTAAAATGTAAAGTAAAAAAAAAAAAAACATGGAGAGTAGAAGTGTAAAGTGTGCACTGACGTATCTTTTACCTCCTGCTTGAACTCTAATGAGTCCCGTCACTTCAGAAGCACTGGTTCCTCATTTTACTCTTGCTTCTGTCCCATTTTAGACCCAGAGGTTTGGACACAAGACCACGTGCGGCAGTGGGTGGACTGGGCCATAAAGGAATACGCGCTGTCCGATGTGGACGTGTCCCTCTTCCAGACCCTGGATGGAAAAGCGCTCTGCAAATTGAGCAAAGAGGACATGATGCGCATCACCTCCGCATACAACACAGACATCCTGCTCTCCCATCTCAACTACCTCCGGGAGAGTAAGACCCTCATCCCATATGAATAAGCCATTATAAATGTTCATATAATCAGGAGAAACTCAGTCTGATTTCTAAATGCATTGTTAGTATGCTGTGGAAAATGCTGGTCTATTTATAAATGTAGTAGATTAAAACGGCTTGTTTTTTACTATTGTTTATTCAGGTAGTCCCACTTTTTCCTACCCAACAAATCCAACTAATACACAACCACAACCTCGAGTACAGGTAAAAGCCGGTAAGTCAAACCTCTATTGTTATTGAGCATATAAATGATTTAAAATATACATTGTTTCATTCATATTTATGACTGATTCTGTCTGTATTTGAAAATAAAATATGAAGCTTCTGTATGAATGAAGTATATTAATTCATGGTACGTAATGAACAAAGGTTATTGAGTCCAATGAACTGTATTACAAAGGAAAAGAATTGCTGTATTCTAAATATAAATTGTTATTATAAAGAAATAGAAAATAGAAATTATTAAAAAGAAAAAAATAGTTTACCCAAAAATTAAAATGGCCTAGTCATTTACCTTCTCTCGTGTGGTTTTAAACATTTGAGAGTATCTTTCTTCTGTTAAACACAATGGAAGATATTTTGAAGAATGCTGGTTGCTGGGACCCACTGACTTGCATTGTAGGAAAAACAATCACTATGCACGTCAATGGGTCTCAGCAACCAACATTTTTTAAAATATCTTATTTTGAACAAGGCAGATTAACAATTTTTATGTGAACTATCCCTTTAATGTAGTCACTTTCCAAATATACATCAGATCATATTGGGTTTCTTCCCCTAATACAAGTAATTTTAGTTTCTACTGAGATCCTTAATGTGTAATACAGGGATGCAGGATTTTTGTCTTAGGCTAATACCAATATTTGCCATTTGTTCATTTACTTGGATTATTTAGACCATTTGGTAGAGGCTGATATTTTAGAAATTATGGGATGTATTGAAAAAAAAATGCATTAGATTGTGTTAACTAGCGACATTAGCAGTTCAGAAATGCAATCCTGAATCCTGGTTCTATTAGCCCTTAAACTACCCCAACAAAAAAACTAAGTAAAAATAAAAAGATAAAATACAATACATACAATTTTTTTCTAAGTTTAATATACAGTTGAAGTTAGAATTACTAGCCCCCCTTTGAAATATTTATTATTTTTTAAATATTTGACAAATGATGTTGAACAGAGCAAAGACATTTTCACAGTATGTCTGATAATATTTTTTTCTTCGGGAGAAAGTCTTATTTGTTTTATTTCAGCTAGAATAACAGTTTTTAATTTTTTAAAGCAATTTTAAGGTCAAAATAATTAGCCCCTTTAAACTATATTTTTCTATAGTCTGCAGAACAAACCATCAATATACAATAACTTGCCTGATTACCCTAACCTGCCTAATTAAACTAATTAACCTAGTTAAACCTTTAAATGTGACTTTATGCTGTATAGAAGTGTCTTGAAAAATATCTAGTCAAATATTATTTACTGTCATCAGGGCAAATATAAAATAAATCAGTTATTAGAAAATGAGTTATTAAAACTATTATGTTTAGAAATGTGTTGAGAAAATCTGCTCTCCACTAAACAGTTATTGGAGGAAATAAACAGGTGGGCTAATAACTCAGGTGGTTTAATTATTCTGACTCCAACTGTATCTATTTTGTTTTGACTGTTAACATCTGTGAGTGTAAGTTTCAGTCTGGAGAGATTCAACTTAGTAAAAAAAAATCTAGTTTTATTTTAAGAGAGCTCAAATTATAATTGTGCACTTGTGTGCTTTTGTCATGTTATTATGAATTGTGAATGTTCAGATGTGAGCAAACACAAAAGATCAATCACAGGATGGTTTATTTTAATTGTAAAAACACATAAAATATTGGTTTGTTTTTCACCCGAGCCTGAAAAGCACGTATCAAACAGCATTATTATTTGATACTGTTTCCTCAAGTAAAAATACTGGTCACTATTCAATGAGATTGTTTGAACAAACAAGGGCAATACTTTATAGTTTTAAAAGAAAAAGGGGCCTATGGCTTTGGAATAAAACCAGGGACTTAATTTTAGTGTGAATTAACCTGTAAAATTATATAGACTAAGTGGTTAAAGTTCAAGATATTATACAGCACTAAAATAGTTTGTGCTATGCAAATGCAGAGGTGCTTTAAGGACCGTGGTTTGTTTCTTCAATGAATTTCACCCCAAGAGTCGCAAGGTTTTTGAATCGCTATGCTTTCGGACAGGAAACAGCTGCACTAGGACAGGAAGTAGAGCTCAGTTTAAGACACAATTGACTATTCTGTGGCAAAGAGAAGCAGTCAGAACAAAAGGACAATCACCCTAAGGAATTGTGTGCCATCTTCAGGCCTTCTTACCGCTTTGCTTCTGCCTTTGTTCTGCCCTGCGTTTGTTCTTCGGGGATCTTTAATGCAGAGTTTCCTTCCTTCTGCAGCTGCCCTTCTCCTTACTCTTTAAAGCCATCCTTTCCTGTAAAATCTCCCTTCTGTTAATTTCTCCTAGCAGAAAACAGCTTTGAGGAGATCGGCAGGAGGAACAGTTGGTCCTCAAGTGGATTGCCAGCTGTCCCTAAAGGTATAGTTGACCTGCTTTAAAATAAATAAATAAATAAATAGATAAATAAATAAATAGTTACACGATCAATAACACATCATATGTAACATTTTAAATGTAAAAAAACTTGCCTTTTTAATTAATTTTAATTAGTTTTATTAGCATTTCTTTTATTCTTGTTTATGTAAAGCACTTTGAATTACCAGAGTATGCAATGTGCTATATAAACTCGCCTTGCCTTGAAATCACAGGATCTCCAATTGAACATCAGCACAATACCAGAATTACAGAGCCGCCTCCAAGACTTCCACAAGGTCAATGAGTTTAATTCTGTACTCATTATTATTTTTTGTTATGCTACACCTCAGTGTATCTAATCAGTCTTGTACATTTCCGTCTTTACAGACCCCTACCAAGCATTAGGTTCCATCAGCAGTCGTCTTGCAAACCCAGGTAAGAAATAATCATAAATTGCATACGGGTCAAAGATGAGTTGTGCCATTTTACAGTTTGAATCAAATAAAAATGACTATATATATACAGAGAAGTAAAGCATATTTAATGCAAGTAAAGCATCTCATTTATGAATTATTATTTGTGAAGCTAAAATGCAGGGAAAATTAACGTTCCCTTGCAATTTGACATTATACATATTCTGCCATGGAGTTACATTATATAAAAAAATAATTGATCAAATTTAAATATATGCTGACAGTATTTTTAATGATAAAGATTTAAAAAGGAAATGTGTGTATTTTGGGTCTTTTTGGAGTTTTATTATGTCATCATGTGCCTTTCTAAATGTTCCTGACAGTTTTTTTAATGAATTATTTTATAATGTATTGCCACACTAAACGACTTTGCAGTGGTATATTCAGTAAATCAGTGCAAAATAAAAGCCAGTCATAATAATTAGCCCAAGAAAATAAAAAAATATATACATTATGTATGGAGAAAGTAAAACAATTACTAACGTCACGGTCACACTAGTTTTGAGCATGCAAAATTTCCTGCGAAAAGGGAACAGGATAATTAGAGATTAAAGTGAGCGATTGGTCCATATTTTAAATTTCTGTTCAGAGAGGTCATGTTTTGATCTTCGAATAGTCTCACATAGTCACGTGATGCGATTTCGCAGGTTTTTTCATTGCAGTGAACTGCAAAACTTGTCGCACGAGCTTGCATTTCCAGTCTGCTACATTCGCATGTATGAATGGAGATCTATGGGGCGAAGATCGCAGTGCGATTATGGCTTTACATCATTACACTTTCACCATTTTGAATGCAGTTTTCATCTTTGACCCAGATTCATCAGCATCAAATTAACAAATGTGGCCTTTTTAATGTATGTAATCTTTGAATGCACAGATATATACCTTTTCATAACTAATTTAGTTATATCACTAATAATATAACCCTGATAAATTATATATTTTATCAACAATTTTACTTGAATTAGTAAAGCAAAAGTTTATTTTAGGGATATCCCGATCAGGCTTTTTGGCCTTCGAGTCCAAGTCATTTGATTATCTACCGATACCCGATCCGATACTTTTATAATACATAAAAAAAGCAAAGAAACAGATCCAGGATGTTTAATATTTTTATTTAATTCACCTTATTTTAACATTTAACAAATCTGTTAACAAACAGAGCAATTCTGTGAGCTCGAACAATCAACTAATAAAGATCAATTCTTCACTTTTGGACTTTTTTATAACAGTAAATATAAAAAAAATCTAATAGAAAATGCTTGAAATTTCCGCTTCAAGCTGCTTCTGTTTTCTACTTTGCCACCATTTAACCAATAGAGTCTCTGTAAGTCAAGAAAGTGGTGTAACACTGTGCCTCCAAATAACTATAGATGTGTTAAAAAATAATGAGTGTATATATACACACACACATATATTCAAGTCCTGATCTGGAGGTAAAGTCGGATTCCAATAGAGTCTAAAAGCGCATGATCAGCCCCTTTCCTGATCATGTGATTGGATCTGGACATCCCTATTTTGAACCACTTCAAATGTTGAGCACTGTACATAAACTGACCAAGTGTGAAAGTTTTGCTACAAAAACATGCATTTCAATTAACATTATATTCATTAAAACATTCTGTAAAAACTTTATATCAGGGTTTCAACAAAAACTTTACTTGATTTCATTGATAAACATGATTGGTATTACAAAACACATGATTAGAATGATTGTCTGCCCGACCTTCTTTACACAGAAGCGAAACCAATCCACACCAAGAACCGAACCACCAAACAAAATTCTAGCCATCTGCCTGTTTCCAGCACTGACAGGACTGTGGGTAGGTGTTTCTGACCGACCCACATTCTGTTTTTGTGTTCAACAAACATTAAAAAGGTCACATTTAAAGCAACAACCTGCCTTCAAAACCCATTCAATCTTCCACTAAAGCTCTCCATTGATTTTTCACACAGGCTCTGGTCAGATCCAGCTGTGGCAGTTCTTACTGGAGTTGCTTTCCGACAGCAACAACTCGACCATCATCACCTGGGAGGGAACTAATGGGGAATTCAAGATGACAGACCCTGATGAGGTGGCCAAACGCTGGGGGGAGCGAAAAAGCAAGCCTAACATGAACTACGACAAGCTCAGCCGTGCCCTTCGCTACTACTACGACAAAAACATCATGACCAAAGTGCACGGCAAACGCTACGCATACAAATTCGACTTCCAGGGCATCTCCCAAAGTCACCAAAACCACTCCACAGAGGGAAGCGTGTATAAATTCCAGACCGAAGGGTCGTACATGCAGAGCTACCACAGCCACCAGCCAAAAATGAACTTCATAAGCCCACATTCCACCCCTATGTCTGTTACAACTAGTAATTTCTTCACGCCTCAATCCACCTACTGGAACTCCGCAACCAGTGTGGTTTATCCCAGTTCACCGATGCCACGACATCCCAGCACTCACACTCACTTGAACACTTATTATTAAAACAGTCACATTGTAAAGCCAACATTGGCTTCTTTGTTGACAACTCTTAAAGAGACAGTTCACCCAAAATTGTACTCTATTTCCCCCATTCTTGACTTGTTCCAAACATTCTTTACACTATTAAACATAAAAGATATTTTTAATATAGCAGAAAACCTGTTAACACTGACTTCCGTAGTATTTGTTTTTCCTGCTATGGAAGTCAGTTGTTTTTACAGCTTTCTTTCATTCATTTTCATCCGCTTTTCCAGGGTCGGGTCACAGGGGTGGTAGTAGAGAACCCCAGACTTCCCTCTCCCCAGACTTCATCCAGCTCCTCCGGGGGGGATCCCGAGGTTTTCTCAGGTCAGCTGAGAGACATAGTCTCTCCAGTGTGTCTTGAGTCTTCCCTGAGGCTTCCTCCCGGTGGGACATGCATGGAACACCTCCCTAGGAAGGCATCCAAAACAGATGCCTGAGCCACCTCAGCTGACTTCTCTCGGTGTGGAGAACCAGTGGCTCAACTCCAAGCTCCTATCGGGTGACAGAGCTCCTCACCCTCACTATAAGGGTGCGCACTGTGAAGGAAACTCATTGCGGCTGCTTGTATCCAAGATCTTGTCCTTTCGGTCATAACCCAAAACTCATGAGCATAGGTGAGAGTAGGAAAATAGATTGACCGGTAAATCAAAAGCTTTGCCTTTAAGCTCAGCTCATTTACCACAACGGACAGATACAGTCCCCATTACTGCTGCCACTTCACTGATCCGCCTGTCAATCTCGTTTTCCATTCTTCTCTCACTCATGAACAAAACCTCAAGATACTTGAACTCCTCCACCTGGGGTAAGGACTTTCCTCCAACCTGGAGATCCAGCTTTCTTTAAAATATATTATTTTGTGTCCAACAGAGTAAACAAATTCAAACAGTTCTGGAAAAAGTAAAGGATGAGTAAATGAGTTTTAAGTTTGTGGGAAATAACAAACTGGCAACATTTCTTGAACAACAAATGACAAGAAACCACCCTCTGTAGCAGATCTAAATACCATTATTATTCAGTAGTATTGTTGTACAGTATATAAGCATGTTAAACAACTGCACCCCTTAGGGTTATATTGTAAATATGTTTTGCATGTTTCATAAGAATGCTCTGACATCACATGCATGTATACTCAACCCTGATGCTTTAAAATGTAACATTCCTTTGTATGCTTGTGTTCTTGTACAGGTTGCTTGTGGTATGTTACCAAGTTGAATGGTAATCATCACCTTTACACTGTAAGCGTTACATTATATTACAAAATAAAACTGATAAACGGCTGCATTCATGATTCACAGTATATTATTGTGCTTTAAACATCCAATCAAAAAGGCAAAAAGCCGAAAAGGCATAAAAGTAGCACATAGCTTTAAGCATGTTGTTTCCTACATGTTTAATGCATTATAAGCTCATTTTAACTATATTGTTTTTATAAACATATATTATTAATTATTTTATTATAAATTAAAATATAATTTTTAGTAATTTATCATTTAGTGTAACTATAGTTTATAAACTCACTGGCCACTTTATTAGGTACACCTTACTAGTACCAACTAGTACCATTCAACAAGGTACTGGAAATATTTCTCAGATTTTGGTCCATATTGATATAATAGCAGCATGCAATTGCTGTAGATTTGTCAGCTGCACATCCATGGTGCGAATCTCCTGTTCCATTACATTCCAAAAGTGTTCTATTGGATTGAGATCTGGTGACTGTGGAGGCCATTTGAGTACAGTGAACTCATTGTCATGTTCAAGAAACCAGTTTGAAATGATTTGCGCTTTATGACAGCGCGTTATCCTGCTGGAAGTAGCCATCAGAAGATGGGTACACTATGGTCATAAAGGGATGGACGTGGTCAGCAACAGTACTCTGGTAGGCTGTGGCGTTAACACAATGCTCAATTGGTACTAATGGGCCCAAAGTGCGCCAAGAAAATATCCCCAACACCATTACACAACCACCAGCCTGAACCATTGATACAAGGCAGGATGGATCCATGCTTTTATGTCGTTGATTTTAAATTCTGACCCTACTATCCGAACGTCACAGCAGAAATCGAGACTCGTCAGATTAGTCAACGTTTTTTCAATCTTTTATTGTCCAATTTCAATGAGCCTGTGCCAATTGTAGCCTCCGTTTCCTGTTCTTAGCTGACAAGACTGAAACCCGGTGTGGTCTTCTGCTGCAGCCCATCTGCCTCAAGGTTGGACGTGTTGTGCATTCAGAGATGCTCCTCTGCATACCTCGGTTTTAATGAGTGGTTATTTGAGTTACTGTTGCCTTTCTATCAGCTTGAACCAGTCATTTCAGCCATTCTCTTGCAACAAGCAGTTGGACAGGTGTAGCTTATAAAGTGGCCAGTGAGTGTATAACAACATCCTGTCAAGCAAATTTACTCATTTTACAGCATATTGCGATACACTATATAAAAGGATCATACTGCAGAACCAAAATATTCACATTTTAATTCCTTTGCATATTTTATAATAAATTTGTATTTCCTTTTAGATATAAAGATTGTAAATGTTTTAATGAATGAGGCATGAATCAATATTTCAGCCATATTTTTGTTATTTTTACAAACATAACAGCAAATGTTAAGACACTTGCATTTATTACATACATTTATTTAATGACCTGATTTTCTCTTCCTGAGTAAACAACTTCCCAATGCACAATCACTAGCTCATTACCACCCGAAACTGATGCTAAAGCATATGCTGATGCATATATTGCTAAGAGAAAACATCCAAATTACAAACATGTGTGTCATGTATTTATTAGCATTTCGTGTGCATCTGTGAAATGTCTATAATCAAAGCATATTACAGTAGGTCCTTTTTTTGTTTGTTTAGTCCAGTCCAAATACCTCCTCAAATATTCTGCGGGGCTCCACAAACTTGCCTTTTTTCTCCACCACAGTCGAGGCCGGCGCAAAATGATGTGAATCAGTCTCAGCTGAGGTCAAAACCTGAACATAACCTGTTCCCACCTCATCTGGCGTGAATAGAGTTGTTTCCTCCTCCTCGACGAAGCCCAAATCAGGCTCCATGATCCAAGGATCACTGGTGATAACCTTACTGGACACTGTATATGGATTAATAAAAGAAGCAGACTAAACCTATAGCTGACAACAGGTAAAATGTGACAACTTTATAATTTCAACAAACACTATCGTATTTACTCAAAGCAATGCTATTTTTTTGCAGTCCAACAAAAAAAACAACTTTTAAAACTGAAGTTACTTACCAGACAGGTCATAAGACTGGCATGTAGAGTCACAGCAGAAACACACATTATTTGAACTGTGTAATTCTTCCCATCTAAAAAAAAAAAAAAAGAAAAAAAAAGAAAGAAAGAATGCAAATTAAAGGTAATTCACTATTGAAAATTGCTAAAATTACACATCCAGAACTCCACATACTGTTTTGTATTTTGGTTGTAAGTGCAGGACTTCGCAGTTGCTGTTGGGTTTAAACTTCCGATAGATATTTCACAATGCATGTAAAGATGCTGAAGATAAAAAAAAACATTAACATGCAACATTAAAAAAAACAGACCCTGCACTTATTCCTTAAGTGTGATGCCTGCTGTTGGTAAAATTGTACATGTTCTGTTTAGTTATAATGCTCGTTTTACCTTTCCTAATATTCCTTGAAACAGAAATGCATCCAAGGAAAACCGTACAACATTCCTTCGTCCACTTTGAATGAATCTGGACCACCTACTGCTCTTGCTTTCAGTCATGCACCTGCAATAAAAAGAAAGAGTAATAATTTTACATCTGTAAAGCATGAAGCAGTTAAAAAAAAAAAAGCTTTTTTCTTAATGGACACAGTTCAAACATACAGACAGACTTTCAGACGATATAAAAAGAAACCAAATGAAAGGTAGGTTTGAATGTGTACTTCAACAATTGCTAATGCTTTAACTAGTGTTTTTTTAATATAAATATTTAATTTAGGCATGCCCAAGTCCTTCATCAGTAGTCCACATCTGATTTGAAGTCTTAAATTACTGATGTCAGAGTCAAGTTTAGAGTATTTGTCAAATCGGGATCAAAAATTTCATGGCTCATATTCAAATATTCTACATTGTCTAGCACACACGCGCACATCTATATTTTCAAAAAGTTACACCAGAGCAAGACTATGCAATTTGGTGCAAGATGCATATGCAAGAAGGATTTCTGACTGCTTGTAATGTAAATTGATGTGATTTTACAGCTGACTATCATTTGTTTTTAATTCCCCACAACTAAATATCTTAGTAAGATGATGCTTCAATGCTTTTTTACATGTTCAAATGCTGTAGTTTTGTTGTAAGGTGTAAAATATATGAAGAAATATAATACAACTATGAAAACGTATACTTTTCACTTCAGTCCAAAGGTTAATTCTCAAACATTACTTACAAAATAACATTTTATCCTGAGGGTTACTTTGCAAAATTATGAAAGATTTTACAGCAAAAAGGCGTACCATATTTGTGTCCGATGTGGTCACACTTACAAACACAGAGCATTTAAATGAGACTTAATGAAATTTACTTTATATTTTGCTAAAGAAATAAGCAAATACTGGTTATGATGCTTCTAATACCTTGCACTGGGTTTTGTTCCTTTAAATCTGCGATGATCCAGTCTCAACTTTCTTTTGCCGTGGCTATGAACTTTAGGACATACAGCCTATTACTGGTGATCAGAAAACTCACCCAAAACAACAGGATTAACTTCCATAAAAACAAAACACACATTCTGGTGATCTGCTGAACCATAAAGTCTAGTAATAACCTCCAACACTAGAGAAATGTATTTCCAAGTTGTTCAAAATTCACTTCAACAATAGCAAAGCTCTCAGGAAATTTACAGTGAAGACTATCACTACTACACATCAGGACAGGACGTGTTAATCATTCAAAACGTATGTGAAGATGAAGTGTACCTGATCGCAGAAAGTGATGTACATCTCAGGAATTAACACATGACATCCATGATATTTGTGTCATAAACATGGTAGATCGCACATGGTCCTCGCATGTTTCTTATAGAAAGACCCATGAGGGAAAGTTTGCTCTTAAAAAGCAACACATAAATGTCAACAAACACAAAAAAAAAGATCCCAGGGCATTTCTGGACAGATCGTTCATCACAGTGATCTGTAGTACGGCTGAGAGACGATATGTTAATCAAATTAGATTACAAATCAGCATTAAACTATACACGCTTGCATTTGTATGACCCACAAGTAGCAGCATCCTCCATTTTATGTAGTGCAACTAAGAGTAAAACCTCAAAAGTTAAAGGGCTATTTTGAGCAGTATTCAAATACAGTAGCATATTAGGTCCAGTAAAGCAGCTAAAGCTCTGTACAGTTCAAAAACAAGGCGTATTAGTTCCTGTTATTAAGAACGTTTAAATTAAAATGTGCTTTTAAAAAAGTTAAAAATAGTAGGTTACTGTTCTTAAAAAGTAAACAAAAAAGAAAAAAAACTCCTGGTTTATTAGCACCTGGATATGTTGCCTGGACATCATAAATGTATGCCTTATGTCATCATATTCATATATAAATCATTTTTGATAATTTATTTAAATACATGAAGCATGTACATATGACATATTTGATTCATCCGCGTACCAATAAAAGGAAGCCGCGTACCATTAGTGGTACACATACCACAGTTTGAGAACCACTGGTTTAATATATAAACATTTTTATGCTCGAGTAAAACATTTTGGAAAAAATTACTTGACACCACAAGTTTTTTTTCTATAACAAATAGCATGTCTCCTAACGCTTACAAAAAAAGGTTTTTTTTTTGTAAAAACAATTACCATTTTTTTTATTAGTTAAACAATGGTAACCACAAATTAACCATAATTTTTCTACAATAATTGTTGTTCAAGCATGGCATTTGTGGTACTGGGCTCTTTACTTGCTAATAAATACAAAGATATTCTAATATGACATATTAGACCTTATAGAAATAAATGAAAGCATTACCCGTGGTTTTCAATGACTGTAAATCGTGGCATAGACAAATGAGAACTGCTGACAGTCACATAACAGGAATCCACAAACAGCCTCTCGTCCTCGGCAAGATGTGGTCCATCCGCCTGGAAGTACATTGGGTGACCAATGGTATACTCCTGTGTGGGGGACAACCTCCTCCACTTCTCTGAAAGAAAGCAGGTATGTCTTGTTAACGGAGGGTATTAACTAGGGCAACACAATATATCGTTTCAGTAAACTTGTATCTTCAAAGAATAATAATTTTACCTAATTATTATTACAATGAAGACTATACAGCAAAATTTTAGATTTCATTATTCAATTTCTGTACCTGAATACGGTTCGACTCTCTGGAAAACCAAAAAGCACTGTTTGTTTGACTCTTTTTCTTTTCTCTATTGTATAGTTTCCCCCTTACAACACAGGTGTCAAACTCAGTTCCAAAAGGGCCGCAGCCCTGCACAGTTTAGTTCCAACCCTAATTAAACACACCTGATCAAACTAATTGAGTCCTTCAGGCTTGTTTGAAACCTACAGGTAAGTGTGTTGGAGCAGGGTTGGAACTAAACCGTGCAGGGCTTCGCCCCTCCAGGAATTGAGTTTGACACCCCTACCTTAGAAAATAAACCCAATCCATCTAAATTAAGGATTTCTTTCCAAACAGAGCTATTCACGCTATCTGGTAAAATTATTCATAATCGCAATCTATTAAAAAAAAACAAAAAAATAAATAAAAATGTAATAAAAAAATACAATTTAAATGGAAAAAAATAAAATAAAACTAATGAGAAAAAAAAAAAAAAAAAAAATAATAATATATATATATATATATATATATATATATATATATATATATATATATATATATATATATATATATAAATAAAAACGCAGAGAAAATGTATTTTTTTTTGCAGTATCACTTTTGCAGTATCATGCAGCACTAGGATTAACCCTTGTGTACAGTTCTTCGACTACCTTTTCGTTATGTTGGGGCTGTTTTTGCACCATTAACTTCCATTAGAATTACATGTTTCCTGTTGGAAAAAGATAAAATCGATAATAATTTACTGTTGAACATTGGTTGGCACTATTAACCCTTTAGATCAGCCTGTGTAAAAAAAAAAGTTTCTGGCTTTTATTTGGAGTTCTATGGAGAATAACAGCAGATTGTAGTGTGTGTGTGCATGAATACACTCACTATGTTTACTACATTCTAAGAACTAAGGTGCTAATTTAGATTTTCTCAGACATATCAAGTTTACAAAGGTCTCTCTTATACTGTCTTACACACACTATATTGCATATAAAAGCCAGACACTATGCGTTTTTTGCACTACAACTGTTGATCAACAATAAAAATAGCTAATTTTATGTCATCCCGACAGGAAAAACCACCAACAATCAAGAATGTATGATATATATAATATATGGTGTCATGGCTTTGCAATCAAAAAATATATTTTAATGGAAGTCAATGGGGCAAAAAACAGCCACTAACATAACAAATTTATGTTTATGCCCAGTGTATTGTTGCTTTTGAAAACTTTCAAAGCATTTTCCCAAAAAAATGTCAAAATATTGTTACCAAAAATCATTCCATTTGCTGAAACACAGAGAAAGTTGTGGCCAAATCGAGACTCAAAAATCACCCCAGAGTGAATATAAACATCCCCAATAGCACACAAGTGTTAACTTCATTGGTCAAACCACATTTACCGTCACGAGGGGTGAGGATGACACTGTCCACCACTCTCAGGGGCTTGAAGTGGTGTTGATGTCTGACTTGAGGTACATAACCAATTTTGTATGAGTAATGATATCTGGAAACAAAGAGGAGATGTGCAAAACTCACAGAAACGTATTTAACACATTGCTAGAATATTTTCACAATCAATGCAATATTTAATATTTAAATGAGCATTAGATTATAGTAGTTTTACCTGTTAAAGTGACACTCAACGGGGACTGAGAAAGGCACAGAGCGGCGAATTGGCCCCTGGTCCATCACTGGAGAGTAGTGCAGCATGTTGGAATATGTTACTCTATTGTTTATTAACTGCAATACAAAAATACAAAAGTTCAATGCAAATGTATTACTTGAATATGAAAGTCGTTCCAGTTAAGCGATAATTTTTCCTTCTACTATATTTCAGATTATTTTAGGCAATATTTTTTACATTTACAACCAACAATTAAAAAGCTTTTTACAATTAAAATAGTGATACTTTCTTCACAATGGGTTGACAATTCATCGTGGGTATACTGACTTTTTTCCTGTACATTCATAAACCCTGGGTAAACTTCCTAATTAGCATATTAATGTGCTCATTTGCATAGTCCAGTTGTCAGTGGCACTGATTGGACGAAGGACAATGTCTACAGCAAACAAAACTTCACAATACTAAATAGTTTTTTCTACAGCATAAATTGCGTCACCTAACATGAAAATTAACTATGATTCTAGTAGTTAAACCATGGAAACCACAAATTATTCACAATTTTTCTACAATGAGCACAGTTTAATTCTTAAGTAATGTTGGGGATGCATTTATCCACTCTGGGGTGATTTTGATTCTTGATTTGATCATAACTTTTTCTTGTTCAGCTAGCGAAATGATTTTTGGTGACTAATCTTATTTTGGAAAAAAAAAAATTCTTTGGACTTTTTTTTTTTTAACTCGATACACTAAATTTACTATCCTGTTGTTATGTATGAAAACATCCACTAAATTAAACTGCTGTAAAAACTCATCACTATTTTTTACAATTTGTTTTTGCTTAAATCTGTTAAAACAACCTCAGTTCTGAAAAAAAACTACTAAAATGCTAAGAAAATTTCAGGATTTTAACACTTCAATTGCCAAATTAATAAACATCACTGATTTGGGGCGAAAAATACACAAAATTGCATATTTTCAATATGAAAAGTAATTGTGGGCTGGATTTGTTTAAACCTTTGATCACAGTCATGAGCATGTGAAACATCATTGCATTTAATGCAAGTTTTTAATTGATTTTCTTTTTTTTCTCTCCCTAATTTACTGTTGGTGGCTGTTTTTAACCCCCTTGACCTTCATTATAACCACTTTTTTTTTTTTTTTTTTTGCTTACAAAACCATGACACCATATAATCATGCATTTTTGATTGCTGGTGGTTTTCCCTGTCGGGAAGGTAAAGGTAGAATTGGTCTTTTACTGTTGATCATCCGTTGGCACTTGGCACCATTAACCCTGTGCAAAAAAAAAGTTTAGTTTCGGGATTTTATATGGAGTATAACAGCAAATTAAAGTGTGTGTAAAGAGTGACCTTTATGCACTTACCTTGATGTGAAAATAAAAAGTATCTCAGCTCTCTGAACTACATCGAGTAAATAAAAACAAAGACTGTCTAGTAATGCACCATCAAATGTGGTCATGATAGAAGTCAATGGGGCAAAAACAGCCGCCCACAATAAATTGAGTAAAAAAATGAAAATCTGAGAATGCAAAGCCAATGTTGTTTCTAATCGTTTACATGCCCAAGACTGTGATAAAATGTAAAAACAATTCAGTCCACAATAGCTTTTATATTGAAAATACGTCAATTAGTTTTTTTTAACCAAATCAGTAACATCATTAATGAATTTGGCAATTAGAGAGTTAAAGTCCTGTAATTTTCTAAGCAATTAAGCAGTTTTGATAAGGACTGAGGTTGATTTAACAGATTTAAGAAAAAAAAAAAAAAAAAAAAATATATATATATATATATATATATATATATTTATCTGATGCTTTTTACAGCAGTTTAATTCAGTGAATGTTTTCATCGCTAACATAACAAATGGGTAGTAAAATTGAACAACAAGGGTTAACGGTGTTACTAGTAACTTAATAAAATGGTGCTTGTGTATTTTATATTCCCGCATCATTCTCTAAATTAAAAAATAAAAGGGTTTAAACACACCTTTCTCTCACTGGCACACTGATCCATGTCGTAAATAAACACATGATGGCTCTTTGTAGTCTTGCTGATGTCGCATGTTCCCAGTTTTAACTCGTACTGAACACCACCGACTCCTAACATGTGTTTGTTGACTTTAACGATCATTTTCGTCAACTGACACACGACGTGCACTCCGTGTGCTCGTTCGCGGCGTCGGGAGCTCGCACCCTCTGTCGCGGGGGCGCGCGGGATGAAGAGTTTCTTTAACCCTTCGGGCACTTGCTCAAAGCCTGATCCAAACTTAGGAGAAAATTGTTCCTTGTCCACAAGCGGGATTCTGGAATGCAGGAAAATGGGTAGTTGTAAATATGGCGGTTGGAGACGCTTGACGGCAGGTCCTTCAGGATCTTCTTCAAATCTGAAGTCCAGATCTGAGGTTGAATTTCTTGATTGATTTTTTAGCGTCGCTCGAGATGAGGAGATAAAGACAAATAAAAGTATTATTAAGAGGAAATGAAGCTTCATATCTTTGAATCGCATCAAGGAATTCACTCAACCAGTGTTGGCAACCTTGATACGTTTTCCATCGCTGTGACTGGTAATTAACGCACCTGTCGTTAATAGAGTGCGAATCAAGATTCATTTCCGCGAATCGGTTCTTTTGAACAGGTCTCAAAGACCATTTTTGTACGTCCTCGCGTATGAGTCTGACATTAGGTTATTTTTTTACCGTGCGTGTTTAACATTTTCTGCGTGTTATAGCTGTTTTAATAGATTTTCAATTTGTCATTTATTATTATTTTGAACAGTTTTGCCTCCCAGCAAGACGGTCGATGGTTTGAGTCCTGGCTGGGTCAGTTGGCGTTTCTGTGTGAAGTTTGCATGTTCTCCCCATGTTAGTGTGGGTTTCCTCCGGGTGCTATACGCTATAGGTCAGTGGGTCCCAACCTTTTTTTTTTTTTTTTTTTTGCCTGAGACCCCCTTTTCCCCCAGAAAATATTGTAAGGCCCCACTCCACATTTAATGATAACATCACTCATAAGTTTGAAGTAGGTATGTTAAAAAAACGGTTTGTTTCTTACTATATCTAGATATGTTTATGTATAAATAATAGCCTAATGTAAAATATGTAAGCAAAAAAACAGTAGGTCGTTTGTATTGGGTACATCTTGAGGAGTTATCTGCAAAATTTAATTAAAAAAATTAATTTAAAAAATTATTTGGACAGTCTCATGCATTCATTAGCAAGAACTTTGGCGCAGATAATGCACTGTGGCTGGGTCAGGGACTCTTTGCTTCAAGAAAATGAAATAAAACCATAGTTCAGGTAACTGGCTTGGTGTTTCCAGTATAGCGCTGTGATAAAAAATGTTTGGAGCTTCTTCACCTAGGTCCAGTACGCTTAGGTCATTACTATTAGATGCTGAAGGTGAATCAGTGAGACTTTGTCTTTTTTGTGGAGTACGAATTACAAATTTGTCCATTTTTTTTTCATCTGCCAGGATCAACACAGATGTTAATGCAGGAACATGTCTTCTTGGTGAAATCAGGTTGGCGGTAGGGCAACAAAACATGTTTTACCAATATGTATATATAATTTTCATAAAAGTAATTTAAAGCGTCAATTTGCCTGCAATTTTTAGGTATACAAAATAACTTTCAAGAGTTCATACTTAGTTGATGATTGATTATAAGCAAGTTTGGCATGCTGTCCTGGAAAAGAGCCCCGAGTTCAAAAGGGTCCTTGAGCCCTGGGCTCCCTCCCGTTTGCAGGGCGAGAGGGTAGCTTTGAGCTCAGGTAGATCTCGACAATTCCCCCTTTTTGATCAGAGCTGATTATTTAAATGATTGCTATAAAGAGATAAGCTGCAGGATGGGAGTTTGTCTGTAGTGCTAAATTTAGACCAATTCACTTGTAGTGCATGTTTTTGGAATGCGGGAGGAAACCGGAGAACCTGGGGGAAACCCACGCGAGCACGGGAAGAACATGCAAACTTCGCACAGAAACAACAGCCGGCCTGTTAAAGGACTAGAAATTCTTGCTGTGAGGCAAGAGTGCTAACCACTGGGCCACCATGCCACCCTATGAAGAGAAAGGAGGAGTAGGGGTGGAAGAGGGGATTTTTCAAATTAAAGATGACAAGTGAGAAACCCTGGCTCTTTATAGTGGGTTAGGGATCGTCTGATTGGTGGATCATACATAGTTAATGCAGAACCAGCTGTGTTCAATCATAATCACGTGATCCTCTCAAAATTAGTTAATAATGAACTTCACTTAACGAATGTATGTTGATATACAGTAGACACCAAAAGCAGAATCGCATCTTCAAGAGCAAGAAACCTGCATTTTCTTTTGAAATAGAGTTCAAATATAGCCTGAGATTTACTTACAAAACAAAAATTGCTCATTCAGTGGGAAGCATTAAAGCGGGCAAAAGACATATGATCAGAAAAAAAGATTAAATCAGATGTGTTTTAATATTCAGATAAGACTAGATGCAAGTACTGTACATTGAAGAATTCCATATGCATGGGTTACAATGCAGACAAAATGCCTATTATATCACACAGCTCTGTATTAATTTGATCCATAACCACAACACCCACTTTAAGAACGTTGCTGAGATCTTTTGCCACACAGATCCAACTCCATAAATGATCCTAAAATAGAAATAAACAACATATGTAAAAATTATTAAGGATTTCATAAACTGGCAGCTAAAATCATATTAAAATAATACCTTACACACCCTGGAATGATCTCAGATGTCAGTCCTCCATTTTCTACATATTGAGTTTGTTAAGGTCCATCTTTGTTCCACTCCGCTGGTTCTTGTTTGGCATTTAAAAACAGCTCTTCATCCAACACCATTTGTGACTGTACCGTACTTTGTACCTGCAAGTCTTTAAAGTCCATCTCATCTTTGGTAATGTTAACCATTTTATTTATTCCACTTTTGCTGGACATTTTAACATCTTCCAAAAGCTCTCCCATCACACCAGCTCCACTTCTGCTCCTGGGTCTTCCAGCAACTTTCCCAATCTTTAAAACTCTACCCATCTCTTTCCCATCAGACTCCACATGTCCAGAATGAACGGACTCTGTAGCAGTAATTTCCTTACTCCCAACAATTACCTCAACATCCTCATCCAAATGCATAACACTCATCTTCTTGTTTTCCTTTGTTACTTCTGTTTGTTCTTCAATATCACTCACAATCTCCAAAGTGTCACCATCATCATCTTTCTCTTCATCGATTCCTGTAGCGCTCTTGAACTTCTTCTCTGGGCCCCCTTTAATATTGACCCATCCTCCTTTAATGTTTAATAAGTTTTGTTGACTACGGTCCAAAATCCAGGGTTTGCTTGATATCAGAGATTGTGTCATACTGGGAAAATAAGCTGTTGTAGAAGCAAAAGATGTAATGTTTTCAGTTTACACACAGACAGTCGACACAACGAGACTTGTTCCAGTTTACACCTGCTGTTAAAAATCTCTTTTGACCACATTTGACCATTTTTTTTCTAGATTTTATTGAGTTAAAAAAAAAAACGTTGTTTTTTAATAGCGCTTTTACAATGTAGATTGTGTCAAAGCAGCTTTACATAGAAGATTGTAGTGAATTGAAACAGTGTCAGTGCAGTTGATGGTCTATTAAGGATTGTGATGAGATTTTTACGTTGTTTTTGTTAAGAAATCTTCAATGATGAAATACATGACTGGAAAATATTTTACTATTTTTTTTTACTTAGAAATCAACTTGTAATGAATGTTATTTCTATATACTTCTATTTTAATGAATTCTATGCAGTAAAGGACATGCAAACACTGCTAATTATTTTGCTAATATATAAATGGATGAATAGATTTTTATTCAACTGAATAAAAAAAAAAAAAAAAAAAAAAAAAAAAAATCACAAAACGTAGAACCATTCAGGAGCTTTTTTTAAATCAATTGTAATAAATGTTATTTTACATTTATTTTAATGAATTGTGCCATAAAGGACATGCAAACGCTGCTATATATTTAGCTATAAACTCTACTGACTGGCTTCTCCACTGTGCAGTTTCACATGAGAATCGAATTCCTTTCCATAAATTAAACTTTAAAAAAAAAAACTGCATGTAATCATGTTATTTTGGGGCTTTAAACTTTCATTCAGCAACAGCTTCTGTTTATGGACAGCATAAATTTGTATCAGTGATGGTGATAATGACGACGACGGCTGTACAGTATGTGTCTCCAGGAGTTCACTGTGTGTGTGTGTGTGTGTGTGTATGTGTGTGTGTGTGTGTGTGTGTGCGCGCGCACTCTAGGATGTGACTGTGGTCCTTTACCGACTCGATGAGTGCAGAGAAGTGTCAAACAGCTGGGTGTGTAAGGCTTATCTTTGTTGCAAAATGCAGCTATAAGTCCTACACAATGGTAATAGTTTGATTACGGTGTTTACATGTCTGTACTGCACTATAATGCAACTATAATGCACAATAATGCAACTGAAAAAGGAATACTCCACATGTCTTAATTCCATTAGCGTTTAAGTATAGTAATGTCGTTTATATATAGCGACGTTGTTCCCATCACTGGAAATAAATCTGCACAATTTACATAGGACTTTGATTGCTGAAAAGTTATATGGAGAGATGCAGCTTTGGTTTGTGCTTCGAAAGCCTTAAAACAATGAGCGCTGTGGGTAAGAGAACATTGCCTTTTACAGTATCAACTGATTATTTAAACCAACAATGCAATCTGCTTAAGTCTCCAGAAGTGGTGCAAATTGGACAAGAGATTTCCTCAAAGTATTTCAGACCCAGTTTACACCTGTATTTAAATTTGTTTAAATTAAGATTGGTGTACACCTTAAAAGTCATAGTTTTTCCATAGCAGAAAAAACAAATACTACGAAAATTAATGGCTACTGGTTTCCACCATTATTCAGTATATACCTTCTTGTGTGTCAAGTCAAGTAAATTACATTATTATACTTTTTAAAACTGTCCCTTTAAAGGTCTCGAGAGATGCTTTAAAACATGATTTTTTTTTTAATTCAATGACAATCTCAACGGAAAAAAATGAAGAGAGTGGGATAGAGTAGCTCCTTCCCTGTAAGATAAACAGCCAATAGCATTTTGTTTATATCACAGCTCCGCCAGTGAGAGTGGTTGAGATCAAAAGTGTAGATGTTAATAACTGATAATGGTTGGGTTTAAGGTTGGGGTAGGTGTAGAATTTAAGAACTGATGATGGTTGAGTTTAGGGTTGGGGGAGGTCTAGATCAGGGGTCATCAAACTTGTTCCTGGAGGGCCGGTGTCCTGCAGATTTTAGCTCCAACCCTAATCAAACACACCTGAACAAGCTAATCAAGGCCTACTAGGTATACTTGAAACATCCAGGCAGGTGTGTTGAGGCAAGTTAAAGCTAAACCCTGCAGGGACACCAGCCTTCCAGGACCGGGATTGATGACCCCTGGTCTAGATGATAATAACAGATGATGGTAGTGTTTAGAGTTGATGAAGGTGTAGATGTTAATAACTGTGATGGCTATGTTGATAATAACGGATCTACAGCGCCATCTTGCCAACAACATAGTT